ATATATATATATGTAGTCATATTAGTCCACGTGTGTTCAAATAATAAAACAGAAAATAAGACAGAAAATAATGATGCGGAAACGTTGAGTTAGACAGTAGAACACAATATAATTTATTCAGGAAACGAATATTTCGTCTTGTCCTCAAGACTTCATCAGTGTAACTGATTGCAAAAGTTGGCAAATACCAGATCCAATGTAAAACAATAAACAGTCGGCAATAAATAAAGGAGGGTGATTAAATAAGATAAACAATATAGTGTCGTTTAGGGTATCAGTTAACACACTGACTGCTAGCGACGAGTATACTTGCCAACCGGCTGTTGATGGGGAGCTATGGACGAGTATACTCGTCAAAAACAGTGCACCTTTATAACATTGCTCACTCCACGTGGCTTACCTCAAAAATCTACAGCCTCAACGGAGGTAGTTCAGGGAAGATACACCTACACTATAATGTTAAAATAATTTATGTATGTTGTGTTTAATTGCAGGCAGTGTAAAAACTGGTGGTGCCCTTTATACTTAATAATTGCATTTCCAAAGTAGAAATAATGCAATATAGCTGCAATAATATGTGTGTTATACTATTCTAGAAACATTTTCAGTTTCAAAATTTATAACTATTCATTATATAATACATACGTATTGTGATTTGTTTCATTTTTGCAAGAAAATGTCTTTCCCAGTGCTAGCAACTTGTATACTCGTCCCCTAGTATTTTCCCTCCAATATATTAGACACGCTATTTTGATATGCGACTAGATATGATTTTAAAAAAAAATTGTTTGAACATGTTAACTTGTTTTGACACACGGGAAGGAACTAGGAAAAAGTCTGGCAATCAGCTTGTTAACTGATTCTTTATGCTTATTCTCTAACACCTTGTAAATAAAGCATTGACTATATCTATGAAGCTCTTGGTTTTTATATTACATAATGATATAATTACTATTCTGATTTGCCTGTCACATGTACCTTTGATATGTGCAGTACATTCTGATAATACTCATGGTTTTTCATCACTCTTGCTGAGGGTCGCAGAAATATCCCAGTTGCTAATAAACTAGAGTTTTTTTTTAAGTCCATCATGGAATTTCTTTCATTGTTTTTTTATATTTTGTCTGAAAAATATATGTGTGTGTATGTAAGTATGTAAATAGATTTATATAGCACATAACACCGAGGTTTCTATGCACTGATACAACTTAGCATCCAGCAATTCCAAAAGATATTTCAATGCTAGGATGACTTACAGGTATGAAGCTCTTTCACCCCAAAAGAATTTATTTCTCCAGAATTTGGCAATAGAGTCATTTAGCAGTGTCAGTTCACCCTCACTGTGTTATCAGTGGCCTATTCATATGGTAGTACTGACCACATTCAAATATAATATGAAGTGCTTTATGGTAATTTACTTGATATATGTTATTTAAAAAAATACAGTGTACACTTAATTAGTGTGATTGCAAGATTAACATTGTCAGAAAAAATTAATATGTATCTGAAAAATTGGTGGGTACTAAAATGTTGCCACTGATTTATATACAGTAGGACTACAGTAATGTATATGTGTTGTTTCATTTAGTTTCATTTATTTATACCAATTTATAGAGAATTATAAATTTTTTTTTTGACAATTTCATGTTGCCCTCGCCCTATTGATCAAAACAGCATTCAAGATCAGTCACACGATGACCATGTATTGATCTGAAATCCTTTATGAAACGTTGTTTTTGAAGAACATCATGTTTTGTCAAAAGTTATGTTTCATGACACAATTCGTAACACAAAAGTGGCAAAATTCGTTACCGTGGTGGAAAATCAAAATAAATAATATTCTCGACAAACTGGGTCATTTCTTTGGGGTGAACAACCAGGGCGACTTGGAATCATATTATAACTTAAACATAACAAGACGAGTGTTCTTTTTTTTTTTTATGCTATTGCAATAATAATAATAATAATAATAATAATAATAATAATAATAATTCTGAATTTATATAGCGCCTCCCATTGACACAACCCCGAAGCGCTTGAATATTATTACCCCCCGGATCACTGAATCAAGCACATATGGCCCCTTATTTTTATTTTATTTATTTTTATTTCATTCCTTTCAGCCAGAACCACAAAAAACAATCAAAAAAGAAAGAGGAGGGCTGAGGAGAGGCAAAAGCGGTACAAAAACTACTATCATGGGATATGGTGTGCCCCTCCAGCTCCAAATTCAATATTATAACACAAATTGCAATAATGTTATCTT